AATTGGCCGTCTGCAAGGATGTTGCCCAGGGGACGTCCGGATGAATTGATGTTTTTTATCATCCTTGTGGGAGGCTTCTCTCATGTCCCCGCATGAGAAGCTGGAGCTGATAGAGGGAGCTCATCTGCCTCTCCCTGGATTCGAACCTGCGACCTGTCGGTCTTCAGTCCTGCCGGCACAGGGGTTTAACCCACTGCGCCACCGGGGGCTCCTAATACGTTAATTAAGTTATCACACTCTGGCCATGAAAAACCCTACATTTGAAGCTAGCTTCAGACTGCAGCAGCCAGTCAACAAACTCCCACAAAAACTCTCAAAAGAAAGTTCTTAATGAGCATCAATGCTCTGTCTTGGTGGAGAAAATGCCCGAAGGGGGCACAAATTTGAAAACTGTGTTTTATACAAACAAAGCATCTTGCTATATGATTACTTTGAATGGCTATTTCTTTATTGTGCATGAGCAGAATAACGTATTGAGTCTGGCTGCAGAGAAGCAGGCAAATTGCCCAGCTGGCTATCTGAAAGTTAGCATACTTTGGCTTAAGGGGTCTCTCAGTTTTGCACCAGTCCTTTGAACCTAAATTCCCATGTTTCTGCCACTTTTCACAGTTAGTCTACTTTAAAAGCTTGCTAAGCAGTTGTGCAGGTGCTGTGCATATATACATATCAGAACCCAGTTGCTAGATTTGCTAGCCATCCCTTAGTCCCCTGCTTCTCCTCCATCTTTCTCAATCAGACTTAATTAAACTGTTTGCAAGCCGCAGCCTGGTTTTAATTACAGTGAAATTGTTACAATTAGAATGAAATTGGCCAGTCGTTGTTTATAGGGGCATTGTTCTGGGAAAACAGCAGGCTGCTGAAATCATCTCATGCCAGCCATCCCATTGCAGAGATTATGTGAGGCCTGTTAAGTGGGGGTAGAGTTGGCATGCACTGTATTACTTGCTTCACAAGCTGTAGTTGTGAAACTGATAAATATAAGTTTACTGAATGTCAACACATTTATATTTGGCACAGGTCTCCATATGAAGAATGTCCTACTAGGTCAGCCAATATTTAGAACTGTTCTTGTAATTACGTTTGCCACTTAACAAGCTCAAGGTGGCCTACAGAGGGTCTGCTCTTCATCCCTATCTTTGTAGCATTCCTGCAAAGTTAGTTAGATAGAAAAACAATCTAGGGTCATATAATCTAGGGCAGGGGTTCTCAAACTAAGGGCCGAGGGCCGAATACGGCCCTCCAAGGTCATTTACGCGGCCCTCGCTCAGGGTCAACCTAAGTCTGAAATGATTTGAAAGCACACAACAACAGCAACAATCCTATCTCATCAGCCAAAAGCACACCCACCCTTTCCATTAAAATACTAATAAATTTGTATTTCTTAAAATTGTTCTTCATTTTAATTATTGTATTGTTTTTAAATATTTTTGCACTACAAATAAGATATGTGAAGTGTGCATAGGAATTCATTCATGCTTTTTTCAAATTATAATCTGGTCCTCCAACAGTTTGAGGGGCTGTGATCTGGCCCTCTGTTTAAAACGTTTGAGGACCCCTGATCTAGGGTGATGTAATGGCTTAAGCACTGATCCAGGACTCAACTAAACTCAAATTCCTGCTCAGCCATGGGTATCTGGGCAAGTCACACTGTTGAACTTCCTCTGAATAAATCTTGGCAAGAAAATCCTAGGACAGGATCATCATAAACCAGTCAACCTAAAGGTACAAATAACAGTCCTATATGTGATATCACATATAATCCTGTATTTTAGCCTTGACTTAAAATTCAGAAAATACCAAATATAGAGGTTTCCCATAATAATGAGGCATTTTTCTTCTACTGTTATCAAGTTACCAAAAATTAAGAAAACGCAACAGTGTTTTTTAAGATAAAAAACAGTGCATCTTAACAAAACATTTTGTGTTCTCTTAATTTTTTTTACTTGGATTTTGAAAATATTTATTTATTTATTATTTATTTATTTCTCGCACTTCTACCCCACCCTTCTCAACCCCTGAGGGGGGGACTCAGGGCGGCTTACAAAAGGCACAATTCGATGCCAGCACAACAAGATAAAAATAAAACATATATAACAGCAATTAAAACAATCCATTATACATCACAATCCCTAAAAACCAATCTAGTGCTCAACGTTTGCCAGCTCAGAGTCTGTAAATTCAATTCCACATTGTCAAATCCATCAGTTCTAGTCGTCACTTGTCCTTTGTCTATCTGCCAGATCACCCGAAAGCTTGGTCCCAAATCTATGTTTTTAATTTCCTTCTAAAAGAGAGGAGGGATGTCGATGACCTAATTTCTCTGGGGAGTGAATTCCACAGGTGAGGGACCACCACCGGGAAGGCCCTGCTCCTCGTCCCCACCAACCTCACTTGTGATAGAGGTGGGGCCGAGAGCAGGGCCTCCCCAGAAGATCTTAAACTCCAAGATGGGACGTAGAAGGAGATTACAAGAAAATAAAAAAAGAAAGACAAAAATAATGGAAGGTGTGCATAGGATGTGTACATAGTATGGTGTACTATTTTGAGCAGTGGACTAGGACTCTGGAAAACCAGGGTCAGATCTTCACTTGAGCATAGAAACCTGCTGGTTGATCATGGGCAAGTTACACTGTCTCAGCAGAAGAGGATGGAAGGTAATTGCAAACCCTCTGAAGAAATCCTCCCTTTGGGTCATCATAAATTGAAAACAATTTGAAGGCACGTTTTAACAACAACAGTGATATGAATACAGAGCTATGTGTGCAGGGAGAAGGATGCTTGGTGGAAAGCCAGTTGTAAAATCTGGAGGTATTATTGATAACAAAAGAACAAGCTCCCAGCACACCTTAGAGATAGACAACACTGGATGCTTTATCCTCACTGCCTCCTTTTTGGTCATCCTTGGGTTGCTGTTTTGCTAGTACAAAGCCTGATTCTGAGTGAGATGGTAGAACATGGCTGGCCGTGGCTTTCCTTTGCTCCCTGGCAGTAGCCCACCCCAGCATGTTACCCAGCAAGACTGCTTCTCTATGCTACATCATTTCTCACAACATTTCTCAACATTTTAAAATGGTAGCTTTTGTGGAATATATGTGATTAATATTTAATAATCCCTCTTTCTATGTGCTCTTACTATAGATGATTTGTCATTATTTGTTAGTTCATTTCATGATATGCGATGAAGTTTTTCTGCCTCCCAAGTTTTTTGCAAGCTGCTGTGGGGGCCATCTCTGTGGAACATAAGCTGAATATCAATTCCATAAATAAAATATAAAGAAATAAAACTCTCTAAGAGCTCAGACACATGCCTTTTCATCTGAAATCTGATTTTTTTAATAATCATGGAGGGTAATGATTGTGGGACCTTCTGCATTTACTCAAGAGCTCTCTGCAAATCCATTCTATTTTTGTTTCGAATTTTGGGTGCCCCCCATTCTGTTTTTGGGATGATTCTGGGAGATTAGGAGGAGGGCTGTTTGTAATTCAGAACCCTGAGTTTCATTTCCATTTCTGGAAGAATCTTCCCGCAAACAGAACCGGGGGAGAGACACTGAAAACAGTTCAAAATTCTGTGCTGTTTTGCACACCCCAACTCAGTATACAGCCACATTCCCTGTTCACTCTTCTTAGCGTTATTAGAAAAAATAATACCAAACTGTTCTCTCCCCTCCCCCCAAATGAATTGTGTGAAATAAGAGAAAACCTGCACATAGTCTAAACTTTCACAGTTGACACCTGTGGTAGCAGGGTGTGGATTGAAAAAGAGTAGCTGAAAATAAGATAGTCTCTAGCCTATGAAATTTTATGATACAATATATAAATAGTAATGAAGCTGTCAAAAGACACAAATATGTTATTCACACACACATATGCACACACAAAAGTGTGAACTGGATACAACTGAACTTGTCCATCTCTTTATGGTTTTTGGATGCCAATGATCCCAGTCTGGTTTGAATGAGAGGCCAATCCAATAGCTAACTTCTGTTCATTCCTAGTAGTGGAATTACTCCATCCTCTAATCATCGCAGCATACAACTTTCAATAAGTTGCCTCCATCACTTGTTCTACTAATATGTCTTCTTGATAAGGGTTAGTAAGTGGTTATTTATTTGAAATAAGTTCCTGTCTTCATTAATGATAAAACATTGATTTTAAACAATTCCTCCATTTGCAACCACTCATCACAGTGCATTGTATAGAAGCAGTACAGCTGCACTTGTTGGGTACAATGATGGGCATAATCCACTGTAGTAACTTTTTGGAGGGCTTTTTATTAACCGTTATGTGGGGTGTTCAAAAGTGTTTTCCATGAAAGTTGGCAGCAAGGGATGAAGCACGTATTCTTCCCTGCCAGTTATCCTTCCCTGTCCGATATATTGTATCTTTGAGAAGGATGAGGTGGTTATAACCAATGACAGGACGTGTCCACTGGAGACCACATTCTTAGCTGGTGGGATTGGGGAAAATACTGGTATTTTGAATGTTAATTTCAAAGATGGTATGTTTCTATGGATTATACAATTAAAAAAAAACCCATAATGTTCAAGAGTAATGTTTATTCAGCTTCCTGAACAGAACCAGGAGGCAAAGAAAACTACGAAGTCCAATTGCTCCAAGCTGTATTCTCTGCTAGCCAGTCTTTAACGGAGGAATGACTTAGGAAAAGTTGTGGCTCCGTCATAACTCTGACAACAGTGATGGGCAATGTGTGGGTCTCCAGATGCTATTGGACTCCAGCTTCCAGCATTCATCATCATTGACCATGCAACTTCAAGCTGCTACAAGTTGTGATATGTCCCAAATATTTATAAGAATTTGTGATATGTCCCAAATATACAAGTTGTGATATGTCCCAAATATTTATAAGAATTTGACAATACTCCTGTCTTTCACTACTAAGAACAAGAAAAACGTTGTTATGTATGTATAAACATTTCTTTAAATGGCTTGATATATTGTGCAACTTTACCATTGGTGTTTCTTGTATTCCCATCCAGAGAATTTGCTCGTTGGAGGGTGAATAACTTGGCACTGGAAAGGAAAGATTTCTTCCACTTGCCAGTTCCTCTGGCTCCAGAATTCATCCGAAATATTCGCCTTCTGGGGCGCCGGCCCACCCTGCAACAGGTCACCGAGAATCTGATTAAAAAATACGGAACCCATTTCCTGCTCTCAGCCACACTTGGAGGTGAGTATTCAAGCTTTCTTCCTGTAAACTTTCTATGGTGATGCCACAATTCATACCATCAAGTCATAAATTAGCTGAGTATCCCACTTCAGTCTGGCACTTTGCATTTTTGAATGTATAGATACACAGATAATACATACAGTCTGTACATACAAACCCACATGAACATACCGTAGTTACATCTTTCCCCATTTATTTTTATGATTTTTTTCCCTCCTGTGCAAACCATCACAGTGGTTTGCAGTGGTCAGAACCATGTGGCTCAAGGGGGGAAGGGGTGACATGGGCCCTTTCTCTGAGGACCCCACATTCCCCCACCCAAAATGGTTCCAAAGCCCAATATATTACTTACTGGGGTCATTTTCTGCATTATAGTTACTGCTGGAAGGCACAATCAAAACAACCATAAAATACAAGAAATATTTCAAATACAGATTAGAGTTGCCAGAAATTGACATTTGACAAGTACATACACACAGATAGCTTAATATAAAGCTGCACGAATGTGGGCTGCTTAGTCATGCCCACCTGGCTTATAAAAGCACAAACCCCAGAAGAATTAGTCCTTAGAATGTGTATGGTAAAGGAAATACACTGTATTCTGTGGTGTTTTGCATCCAAGGAAATCCTATGTTTTAACATGTATTTCTCCATATGAAGTATTGGTCTATATTTACTTGAAAGCAGGTTTTGCTGTATTTGGTGCAATTTATTTCCAAGTATGTGTAAAAAGGACCAGCACAGACTATTTGCTATTATTGCTTAAAGTTGTAGTTCAATGGAAAGCTTAAAGTAGCAATGTGGATTTTTAGAAACTGTGAGTCAAACCTACTAATAGGATCAAAATGGTAGAATGGACATAGGAACGTATTTGCAGCCTGGGACAAACAACAAATCATGCTCACACTTACCCATCTACCTGAGCCAAGGTTTTTAGTATTTAGCAGCTATCCATTCATTTTGGCACATGAGGCAGAAAGGAACACAAACAAACCCTTCTTGACAGCAAAAATAAAACAAAGGCTAACATTTTCTGTCTTTTCACAGAAGCCCAAATCTGATGGCAGAGGTGACTGCCTCACTCTGCCAAATGGTAGGGCCAGCTCTGCAAAACAAGCTTACCAAATAGCTTCAGTGTGCAGGGGCCCAGTCAGCCTCACTGATCTTTCCACTTGCTAAGGAGGCTTTTTCCTCTAACCTCCCTTGAACAGCAATGGTGTTAGGTACTTTTTTCTGTGTTTTGAGTTCTGCTGTGTTCTGCTGCAGATGCCAGTTTGTTTTAGGTCTGTTGTGAAAGTGCCTCTTGTCACACACAGTGTGACTGAACTGCCTATGTTTATAGTAACTGGATTTGACTGTGCTATGTAGGAAGAAATTGCCCAGAAGCAAGGGGATAATCTTAGCTCATTTATACACTAAAAGTAGGCTAGAATGGACATCCCAATGAGTTCACATAGGCTACAGAAGAGGAGATAGAGGCAGTAGCAGGCCTTGTGGGGCTCAGACCAGGAGTTGTGGATTGGGAGTTGGTTCATTCTTTCCTCTTCTACAAAGACATTGGCAGCTGGTGGCTTTTCATGGCAGTGGGACTGTGAATCCAATCAGGTTTAAACTTTAAAGGAGTCATCCAAAGTGTTGAATTATAATTTTCATGGACAGCCCATTTAGAATTTGTATTCAAACTGGAACGAATCCACTGTCCCTCTGTACTGGAAGCCATTAGCTACCAGTGATTCAGAGGGAAATTTGCAATTTGGGCAATACCACCACCACCCAGGAAGCCTCCTGATACATGGCATCCAAGGGGCCTGTTCTTGATATAAAGCTTTGAATTTGCTCTCTGTTTTTCTGTCTGGTGGACACTACTGACCTTGGTGGGTTTAGTGCTGCCGGATCCATGAGAATTTAAACAAAGCATCTCACATCTTTTCAGGAGAAGAGTCCTTGACCATTTTTGTGGACAAGCGCAAGCTCAGTCGGAAAGTGGAACCTGGGAGCCCATTAGTAAGTGGTGGAACTAATGCTACTGTCTCCTTGGAAATACTACATCAACTGGCAGCCTCTTACTTCATTGACCGGGAAAGCACCCTGAGGCGCCTCCACCACATCCAGATAGCTACAGCTGCCATTAAGGTAACTCTAGAAGTAAACAAAAGGTGTTCTTTGCCTCCTGAAACCTTGAACATGTTGCGGGGAGGGTTTCAAGGCTTCTGTATGCGCAGTCTTTGCATTCTCTTTGACCTCAAAAGTTTGAATAATGGTAAGTAGGGCTGGTCAGAAAGAGAAATAGCAGCATGTGAGAAATCCTCTAGGACAGAGATTCTTAAACATTTCCACTCAGGACCCCCTTTGACCCGAGACACTTTTACATGACACTGGATATATAGATATATAAAATAAGCATTAAAAATAAACATTTATTGATAACAAATCGGCATTTATATGACTTGCTAAACAGGTTGATTTTTTCTTTTCATGAGGTACAGCTGAAGCATCTTTTGCAGAGTCCACTGTAAACATTGCACAACAGATTTTTGTAAATATTTAAAAGAGCCACTAGGTGACATTCAGAAATCTTTTACTTTTGCCAGTTTTCTGCAGAACCCAGCATTGACTCCATTTGGAGTCAGGACCCACAGTTTATGAAGCAGTGCTCTCGGCTATAAACCGATGTGTCTTCATCCTGTGGAGAATTGGCTTCTCTTGTAGACAGAATCCAAGTTTATCGCTTGGCAGCCTGATGGGAAGGTTGGAAGAGAGAGCAGATGCCCACAGGCAAAAGGACACTTGCTCACTTTTTCACCATAGGAAAACCACCATCTTATAAATAGGAGCTTTCCACACTGCAGCACTATGTATTGCAGGTGCCACTCAGGACCCTTCCACACAGCTGTATAAAATCCACATTGAACTGGATTATATGGCAGTGTGGACTCAGATATTCCCATTCAAAGCAGATATTGTGTATTATCTGCCTTGATAATGTGGAAGGGCCATGAATTTGTTTTAAACTTCAGTAATTCCATGCTTGTTTTCTCTGATAGTTTTGAAGTTATGTTACAAAGCTGGTTTCATAGTTTTATCCTTGTTAATTGCCTTAAACTCTTCTGATAAAAGACTAGCTGCAAAAAGTTTACATATATCCATAAATATGTTTGGAGTTGGTTACAGCAGACATGTTAAAATAGAATCCTAGGACCCTTCCACACAGCCCTATGTCCCAGAATATCAAGGCAGAAAGTCCCACAACATCTGCTTTGACCTGGGTTATCTGAGTCCACACTCAGATAATGTGGGATTTTCTGCCTTGATATTCTGAGGGCCCATCCAGACTTTACCTTTATCCCAGGAGCTCCTGCAGAAATGAGGAGGGTGGCCAGACACCGTTCTCTAAAAACACGGAAAAATCACAACAAAAGGCAAAAAAGCGATATGTCCAGGTGCAGGAATATCGTGGGTTTTGGCTAATAATAATAATAATAATAATAATAATAATAATAATAATAACTTTATAATTTATACCCCGCCAACCAACCATCTCTCCTAGGGGACTCAGGGCGGCTTACAAGGGACACGCCCAAGATTACAATTAAAACATAATGTAAAACACTTTAACCAATTAAAACATCAGATAAAACATAACAACACAATTGAAAGCAATATAGAAACAATACAGCTGAAAGAAACTTGCTGAGGTACAGATTCTATGAGTGCAGTACATTTTTACAAAAATCCAGATATTCACATGTCTATATGTCCCTGCAATCGGATATCACAGGATTTTTTTATCTTGGTTTGTTCCTGGGTTTTTGATGCTTGTTCATGATTGGTCAGTTCTTAAAAAGATGGTGACACTTGAGTAGAAGGGAAAAAAACTTTGTCCTGGGAAGAGGAACTTCATCCTTCACCTGTTTAATGAATTTTGTGGCAGAAAAATGAAGTTCCTGGGGCACAACAAGTACTTTCACAGTAATTATTACACAATGAAACAGGAACAGACACTTTCAAACCAGGAACAGAATGCAATCATTACTCTAATTACTCAGACCTTGTTGTGTGGCTATCTGTGCAGACAAGTCTCATGGTGTATTTGTGCCAGGGAACAGCAGGATGATGTTGCCAGTTATACATGTTTGTACACCCTCATTGGGTGTAAGCTGATAACATGCATGCAGTTTATGGCAAAACTTATTACTGGCTGTTGGGACATGGATGTGCTGGAGAGGAATGTAAATACTGAGAACCAAGGCCATGCAGCTGGCTAATAGGAAAAGCCATGTGTAACCCAGGAACAGTTCCTGGGTTACACAAGTACACAACCAAATCTTGATGCCACAAGTACACAACCAAATCTGTCTGGACAGATGGCCAGGCAGCCTGTAAAAAATGAGAAAATGAGAATAATGACAAAGTTCTGTTCCTAACTTGGAAGTGTACATTCCTGTTTCATTGTGTAGTGCTGACTTGGATAGAAGTAGTCCTACTCCAAAAACTTTGTTTGTGTGCCAGAAACATGATGAAACATGTGGAGAACACAGTCTTTTTGGTCTGCACATAAATTGGAACTTTTGCAGAGATGTAGATATCCATATATCCGCTAATATGGAAAGCCGAATAAAACCCAGAAACAGGACCCTGTTGTTTGATGCCACAAGTACACAACCAAATCTGTCTAGACAGATGGCCAGGTGGCCAGGCCCTAAAAATTGTAGATAATGACAGTTCTGTTCCTGTTTGTGTACTGCTGACTTGGGCAGTAGTGGCTCTATCCCATGAGGTTTGTAAGTGTGGGAGATACTCCATGAAATGTCTGGAGGGAACAGTTTTTTCTGGCCAAGACAAAGAACAGAACTTTTGCAGTTCACCATATATTTGAACGTCCACATATCCGCATCCCGGTAGCCATTTTGGTTGCCTCTAAATCTCAGAACAAAGCATGACGTCTGGATAATGGAGGCAGAAATTCTGGGACCAACGTGTGTATTTGGACCTCCTCTGAAGTCCCAGGATTTTTTGCTCCTCACTAAAGCCCATGATAAAGTGCTGCCTGGAACCACCCATAAGACAAAAAAACCCCTCCAATTATTATTAATATTATTATTATTAATATTATTATTATTATTATTATTAATAATATTATTTAATAATAATATTAAAAATATTAATATTAAAATATTAATATTAAAAAGTACAAAGCAAGTAAAAGTATAAAAAGACATTTGGTTTGCATGAGTATATGAAGCTCAGGAGATGTCAGGTTGTCACTCAATTTTACTTCCTGCATAAACATACAGATTGAATTTGTAGTAGATCAGTTTGAGATTTCCTGACCTGCCACACATGCCTTACTTTTAGTCAGGCCAGCCTTATCATTGGGTAGAGCGAAACAACCACTTCTAGCAGGAGATACCAGAGGTGAGAAAAACAGACCCCAAATTGTTATCCTTATTAGAAAAGAGAGCTGCATATATTGTACTGAGCTTCCTAAGTGGATTGCTTTGGTATTGTGGAATATGATAATACACTGCCAGTTCTGAAGTGAGAAGCAATTCTGAATTCACTTGGTTCATGCATATGAAATGGATTGTGTGTTTCAGGGTGTATAAGTGTGTATTACTATGTTGTCTTTAGTTTTAGACCCCAAAATGTCTTGTATTGGCCCTAGCTCAAAAAAATGCAAAATGAGAAGAAAGGAAGCTAGTTTCAACATCAGTGCAAAGGTCCCAAATGTTGTATAGAAGTGGCTAAAGTAGTCTTTGGCCCTCCAGGTGTTTTGGACTTTCACAGTTCCAAACAGCTAGTAAGCAGACTGCGATTTCTTGGAGTTGAAGTCCAAAACACCTGGAGGGCCAAAGTTTGTCAATTCTTGGGCTAGAGTGATGGATTTCTTAGTTCGGTCTTCATATATATATATATCTGTCTATCTATATAAAAATCAACATGTGCATGTTTGTCTGTACCGTAAAGGCTGTTGCTATGTGAAGTGACACTTTGTGATGTCAATGGATTGACTATTGCTGGATGAAGTGGCCTCTGTGATGTAACTGGGAAAGAAAGGTGACATGCATATGAGAGGAAGGGAAGAAGGGAAGAGCCATGTTGTCGCAACTCAGGGTAGATTCACCTTACTCAAGACACCACCACACACCAGGGCTGTAGGTTTTGTAGTTTATTGAGAAAAAGCAAAATCAAAACAGAGAAATAAAGATGCAAAGTTCAATAGGCAAAACAGTTTTGAATGCAAAGGCAAAGTTCCCAGGTTCTAAAGGCAAATAACATGAAGCATATTCCTTTAGCATTGGTTAAACAAGAGTCCATGGCAGCAAGAAAAGGTCTCCAAAAATCAGTATCAAAATCAAGGTCCCAAAGAGCCAGAAGCTTTCTGCAAAAGCCAAGGTAATTCCACAGAAGTTAACAGGGTAAAAGCAACATTGGACTGACAAAGAATGCCCTTCGACTAGATCATTGAATATGTTCTCCCAACATGAAAGCATTACGTTGACCTCTAGCTTCACATTTGTTGGCAAGGCGTTCGCTTCTGCGAACTCTTCATTGTAAACGGTCCTGCCTAATCAAGTCTCCACTATCTTCAAGTCCACATAGCTCATTATCTTTGCCCTGTTGGGACTGGTCACCCTGGGAACCATGAGGCCCTGAGCTCCCAGAAGGAGCCTCCACCTGGAGCTCTGAAGTTTTACTATGTTTATCTATAGCCACATTCCTTTCTCTGGGGAACAGAAATGCCGTCTCTTCTTCAGAATCAACACTGTCTGCTTCATTTGTCTCACTAACCGGAACATGTTCAGAAATCTGTAACCCATCATCCTCCTCATCCTGAGGAAACTCAGGCTCAGAAAGCTCAGGTTCAGACTGAACCACAACACTTGTCACTTTCCAGATGTTCTTGGACTATAGCTCCCAGCACTCCTGAACATTGGCTATACTGGTTGAGATTGCTAGAACATCTGGAGGGATGCACGATTCCCATCTTCAGCTTGGACCTAGAGATGCACTTTATGAGACTGATAATAATTGCAGTTGTGTTATATCTGCAGCTATTATTGAAATTTACTGATCTTAACCAGGGAGGTTTTATGATGTGAATATTGGTTGTTATTGCTTTTGTGTTATTG